TATAGAATATATAGCCAAAAATGAGTAAAATATAGAATCTATAAAAAGATTAAAAATTATAAAATATTATTTTTATTTGTATCCAATAAATTATATTATTGATCCTTAATGTATAGATGTAANAAGTATTGGTATGATATGTTGAAGTTTCCTTTGATTCAAAAATTATCTAATATATAGCCAAAAATGAGTAAAATATAGAATCTATAAAAAGATTAAAAATTATAAAATATTATTTTTATTTGTATCCAATAAATTATATTATTGATCCTTAATGTATAGATGTAATCTTATTAATTTTTTTCAAATAGAATTTTTTTATGTTTAATGAATTTTTAAGTATCAAATTTAATATAAAAAATATAAATATATCATATTATTTTTGTCTATTATACTTAAAGTGTGTCCACCTTAAATCATATTTTTTGCTCTGCCACTGCTCTCAGGGATTTTTCACTCCTCACTTTTCTAAATTAATTAATTGATTTATATTATAACGTGTCTTCAGATACGAATTATTTCTAGTATATATATATATATATATAGAGAGAGAGAGAGAGAGAGAGAGAGAGAGAGGAGATTTTCACACTCTTGGATCAAATTTCAAGAAACCACCCACAAATTTGATGGGGGAGGAGAGAGAGGGTGGTATATTAATGCATGGATCCGACTGGTTGTGTGTGNAGAGAGGGGGAGATTTTCACACTCTTGGATCAAATTTCAAGAAACCACCCACAAATTTTATGGGGGAGGAGAGAGAGGGTGGTATATTAATGCATGGATCCGACTGGTTGTGTGTGTATGGAACATGCTTTGATTGACACCAGGGTGGTCAGGGGCGGAGGCAGGACGGGGGCAATTGTCCCCCCCTACCCACTGAAATTTTGAAAATTTATAGGGTGAGTTTAAAATTATAATAAAAATTAAATTTTCTAATAAGTCCCCACTCATTTTTTTTAATGAACGGAAAAAATTTAGACTCAAAACTCGCTTGTACAGTCTTAATCTCACAAATATTTAATAAATTCGAATATGGATTATAAAAACGAAATCAATTAAATAGTAAGATTAGATTCAAAATATGATTTTTAAGATAAATTGTCATTCGGATGAGTTAAAATATTATTATTGACAAGTTCACTCGCAAAGCGGTATGTCAAAATAACAATTGTCTTTATTCTAGTAATTTATACAAAAATATATATATATATATATATATTAGTTTTTCTTAATCAAGTCCTATCACTTTTTCAAGTGTATTTATATGTGAAATCTTTAAAAATAAAAAAAAATATGAAGAATTATTTTATAAAAGATTTTAGATTAGAAATATTTTTTTTATAGAGAATGAAATTTTGAATAAATAATCATATTCACTAAAATCAACGAATTTAATAATTATTATATAGTCATTTTTTTTTTATTTACTTTTCACTTAAGTGTGAAAAGTATTAGGTGGAATTAGGAGGAGTTGAAGAAGGAAAGGAATGAAGTGATAATAATAATTCCATTATTATCTTTATAAAGTCCAGTGAAGATATATAATTACTCCTGTTTATTTTCTTTATTGTTTCAATCAATTCTCATCATAATAAGAGAAGTACATACGGCAAACCTCAAAGATATTTCAAGTAATAATAGTGATTAGTTGTAAATTTAAATATTTTGAATTAAATTTTGACAATTTTTTAGAATTAGACTATGATAAATTTATTACTCGTTAATCTTAAAATGAATAATTTGTCTTTAATTAGACCAAAGAACAAATTAGTCCTTAACACCTCTATTTGTTGTTTAAAAGAACACATGGGGCAGTCCAGCGTCTCTTTGTATTTGATGTTCATCATTTCATGTCCCAATAGTCCCACCTTTCTCTCTCTCACACGCGCAAACTCACATGCCTTCGAAATTGGGATAAAAACAATTTTAGGAAGCTTCGTTTCTGACCTCTTTTCTCTTGCCAATACATAAAGCAACCCTCAAAAAAAAAAAAAAAACTATGTCCCATTATTGTGTTTCAAGCTCTTCTCACTTAAACGCAACTTTGNGATTTTAGATTAGAAATATTTTTTTTATAGAGAATGAAATTTTGAATAAATAATCATATTCACTAAAATCAACGAATTTAATAATTATTATATAGTCATTTTTTTTTTATTTACTTTTCACTTAAGTGTGAAAAGTATTAGGTGGAATTAGGAGGAGTTGAAGAAGGAAAGGAATGAAGTGATAATAATAATTCCATTATTATCTTTATAAAGTCCAGTGAAGATATATAATTACTCCTGTTTATTTTCTTTATTGTTTCAATCAATTCTCATCATAATAAGAGAAGTACATACGGCAAACCTCAAAGATATTTCAAGTAATAATAGTGATTAGTTGTAAATTTAAATATTTTGAATTAAATTTTAACAATTTTTTAGAATTAGACTATGATAAATTTATTACTCATTAATCTTAAAATGAATAATTTATCTTTAATTAGACCAAAGAACAAATTAGTCCTTAACACCTCTATTTGTCGTTTAAAAGAACACATGGGACAGTCCAGCATCTCTTTGTAATTGATGTTCATCAGTTCATGTCCCAATAGTCCCATCTTTCTCTCTCACACGCGCAAACTCACATGCCTTCGAAATTGGGATAAAAACAATTTTAGGAAGCTTCGTTTCTGACCTCTTTTCTCTTGCCAATACATAAAGCAACCCTCAAAAAAAAAAAAAAAAATATGTCCCATTATTGTGTTTCAAGCTCTTCTCACTTAAACGCAACTTTGCTGTTCTGGGCTGTTGCACATTATGGTTTGTGAATAACCACCATTTGTGTTCTTTTGTTTTCTTCTCTTTATGAGATTAACCATCATTTCAATAGTTTCTGGCATTACTGTAATGCAAATGTCCTTACCCACAGCTCAAAAAGGTAGTCGCTTTGGTTCTATGGAGACCCAAGTGCTTCAATTTACCTCGTTAAAAAACCCAGTTCTTTAAAACGTTATTTTTGTTCTCCTTCCATTGAATAGAAGTAAAACCCTTGTGGGATTTCTTCTTCAGAGCTCCAAAACGAAGAGTGATGCAAATAACTTTAGTTAATGTTTCTTTCTCTCTCTCTCCTGTCAAAATCTTTTCTATCTTGCTTTGTTGGACATGATATTATTGTCTTTGTTAAAGGAAAGCTTAGTTTCCATTGATTAGACTAAATCTAAGNATGCCATTTTTTCATTGGATACACCTGTAAACCTTTGACTTTTTTATATCTATGTTGGCAATGCTCGTCGAGATGGTCAATGCCATGATTTGAGAAAAGTGCAAGACTATAAATCCGTAACAACACTCGCCAACACCACTCACACACTACACTTGCAGTACTCTACACTTGTCACCCACGAGGAAACTACTTGTTGCCATTTCCATTGTTTTAAGAGGTTACTAACAAGGCTAAGTGTTTGTCAACTCAACATTAATGAAAGTGGAAACTAATGAGCTACATATTCATTCATTTAATGTTAAAATTCAAGTAGAAATGACAAAATAAGACGTCTCTAAAGAAAAACTTGTTTAAAATATATTGACCCAAATATATGACATCTAGAAAAATATAGCTACTACAGTTCACCACTAAAATTGTCCCTGTTGCCCTTATTCTCAAAATAAACACTTGCATATTAAAAAATTGGATTATTTATGGTACAATATCCAAATAAATGCATAATTTTTTTTAAAAAATATTGTTAATTTTTTTCATACATTAGAGAAGAACATGCAAAACTTTTGCTCTCTTCCCACACCAAAAGCAAAAGAATATTTGAAAAATAGCANTAAAAATGTCGTTAATTTTTTTCATACATTAGAGAAGAACATGCAAAACTTTTGCTCTCTTCCCACACCAAAAGCAAAAGAATATTTGAAAAATAGCATAATACCTGAAAAGTGTTATTCANTCTACTGGGTCTGCTGAAGTTTGTAGGAAATTTACATAATAATATGTTACCTTGCTGATTATAATTTAACAGAATATTTTTGGGTTCAAAGAAATTACGGGTATATGCATGGAATTTCGTTTGTTCACTATTTTTTTCAATCAGATTTCTGTTCTTCCACAGAACCAAGTGCGGTAGATAAACAGTTAAGCTTTACATCTCATACTGATGGATCATATGCTTTAACATGCAGAGGTTAAGCCATTGAGCTTCATAGAACCTTCATATTTTTGCATTGTTAACTGGATTAGGGCCAATGCGACTATGCGAGTTTCCGGTGTTTCTTCCGTTAGCTTTCTAGCTCTTACCAACCTTGACTTCATACTCGTATATCACATTCACATGTTTTTCATGTGGAATTTCATCCTCCACTCAATGATTATGGTATTTCATATNCACCAAAAGCAAAAGAATATTTGAAAAATAGCATAATACCTGAAAAGTGTTATTCAAATGATTAGATCTCCATTCTGCTTCAGTTGAGCCACATCCACCCAGATTTATGTCAGTTTCTATATCTTTAAACATATCTGCTAATGCCCTCATGACAATTCTATTTTCAGTTTAGCACAGTTACAATTACAATGGGCTACTTGAATTCCTGATTTATTTTGGTATTAATATTATAGGTCATAAATATGGTTTAAAGGGCTAGCTGCTACATAACACAAAAGCTATATAAGCACATGTACATGGGTAAAGGAGAATTATTCTTCATTGATCTCCATTAAAGGGTTTCTAATTATATAATTATTATAATAAAACAAATACAATTAAGAAATATTCATTCAAAATGACCTCATTATGCAAGTCATAAAAGGGAGGAAAACAGTCAAAATCAAGCAACATAACTAAGTATGACAAAAATCAAAATGAGTTAATTAAGGTAAGTTGCAATTGAATTGCACATATGAGTANTTTGCCGACACTATTATATGATAATTAGCAGAAAGGAAAGGAAGCACATGGTACCTCCTTTAATTAGAACTGGACTCATACAACTATTGTCTGCTATCATTTGATGTGTGCAGGGGCTCATAAATTGTTCGCCTTCCATGTTGGGATCATTACTCTGTTTCACTGCTGAGCTATTTTGTTTGCTTTTGTTTGGTTAAAAGTTCCATTGTGACAATGACAGTGATTCACTCTATTGATCTAAATGAAAGCTAATTTTGATTGTCTTCAAAATTGTTCCTCAGGTTGCCTGGAAAAGCATTGGAAACTAATCAAACTGTCTGGCTATGCAATGCTCACAATGCAGAGAGCAAAGTGTTCAGCAGGTCTCTGCTAGCAAAGGTAAGTTCATATTTCTTAGCTTTGACCAAATCGAAGTCTGATTAAGACCCTATTTTTTGTAGCATAGTTTGTATTGGATTTTTTTGGGAAAGAACTAATTTCTCTCCCATTGTGGTTTTCATTCAATGACTGGACTTCCACTGCATTGCTCAGAGCGCATCCATTCAGGTACCGCCCTTTGTATTTGCACAAATTTTATATTACTCTAAAATCTCAAGATTCAATCTATTTTTATTTAGAAAAATAAAGGTTCTGTTTGGTTTGCATCTTAGAAGTTGTTTTCGAAAATAGTTTTTAGAAGAAAAGTTATTTGACCAATTGTTTTTCGTTTTTGTTTTTTGAAAACAGGGAATAAAAACTAGATAGATTTTAAATAACAAGTTAGAGTTGTTTTGTGTGTTTTTGGAAACAACTTTTCAAAAATTTAGAAAACACCACCACGGCGTCCACCACGCTCCCACCACCACATCCACCATACTAACACCACATCCACACTTCCACCACCACCACCACACTCCCACCACCATCATCGCCACCAACACCACAACACTTCCATCCCACCACCACCACAACCAACACGTCCACCACATCACCACCATCACATTTTTGTTTTTATTATTTTTTGATTTATTGTCTAAACAAGTTTTAATATTTTCTATTTCGTAAAACTGTTTTTTGAATCATATAACCAAACAAGATCTATGACACAAAAAAAAAAAACAATATTTAAAATTTTTTTCCAAAAATAGTTTTCGGATACTATTTTTTGTGACGCAAATCAAACTTGGTCAAATATTGTCATCTTGTTATTTGTACTTTTTCACTAGACATACATATGCTAGTCATGCCTTATCTTCTCCATCATTTTGTAGACTGTGGTATGCTTCCCACATGTAGGAGGAGTAATCGAGCTAGGCGTAACTGAGCTGGTAAGTTAATTAACATCAGATTCAATCTCGAATATTGTCATATAGAGTTTGCCTTGGTGCATTTTCTTAGTGCATTTTGTTGCCAATAATTGGACTTAATATGTTTACTGAAGGTTTTGGATGATCCCAATCTTGTTCAGCACATAAAGACTTACTTCTTGGAGACTCCATGCCCAATACTCACCAATATGTCTGAATATGACTCGCGTCAAAAGTTATATAACTGTGTTTCAGCAAATGCAAGAACAACCGAAGATTTTCCTCATGCCAAGCTAGATGATTTTCTGGATACAACTCCGAAACCAGTTGTAGAATGTGAAGAAGTATACACTTGTTCTCTCAATTATAGTTCAAACGGGTTTCAGCCCAATCGACCAGCAGAGGAATCATACATGGTTGATGTCATTAATGGAGGAACTTCTCAAGTACAAAGTCGGCAATTCATGGATGATGAAATTAGTAATAGTGCCCACAGTTCCATGAATTCCAGTGACTGTATATCTCAAACCTTTGTAAAACCCGAAAAGGGTGTCCCTCTATCAGATGGAGAGAAGGTAAATCATGAGTCCAATTGGGCAAAACTCACCTCATTTGATTCAAGAAATGGTATTCACTATCAAAGTATTCTTTCAACGATTTTGAAGTGCTCTCACCAGTTGATTTTGGGACGACCCTGGCTTCAAAACTGTAATAAAGGATCAAGTTTTGTTGGTTGGAAGGAGGAGGTAGAGCCAAGTACTCAGATGCCTCGAAGTGAAGCTCCACAAAAATTATTAAAGAAGGTACTCTTTGAAGTTGCTCGACGGAAGGAAATGACAATGCATGGTGATTGTTTGGCCAAGTCTAGAGAAGATAATGACCAAAGCGGTAGACTGTGGAGACCAGAGGCTGATNTCTTTGAAGTTGCTCGACGGAAGGAAATGACAATGCATGGTGATTGTTTGGCCAAGTCTAGAGAAGATAATGACCAAAGCGGTAGACTGTGGAGACCAGAGGCTGATGACATTGATGTGAACCATGTATTGTCAGAGGGGAGACGAAGTGAAAAAGAAAACGAAAGATTTTTGCTTCTTGGATCCTTGGTTCCATCTACCGGAAAAGTATTTTGATCTCTGTTTCATCTGTTATGGTTTTTTTTGAAGACATTTAGGAAAATTTTTTACGTTTTCCTTCTTTTGTCATATATAAATACAGGTTGGCAAAGAATCGATACTTGATGACACAATAAAGTATTTGAAAGAGCTCAAGAGAAGGGTTGAAGAGTTGGAGTCTTGCCAGGAAGTGGAAGCAGTGGAAGAAAGAAGAAGAAGAAAATCACATGATCATGCTGTAGAGAGAACATCTGATAATTATGGAAACAAAAAGATTGGTAACAGTAAGAAGCCATTGAAACACAAGAGGAAGGTTTGTGATGCTGATGAAATGGAGCCTGAAAGCCATCGGGTTCCATTGAGCGAGAGTTCAACTGATGATGATGTAACTGTAAGCGTGATCAAGCACGATGTTCTGATAAAGATGAAGTGTGCTTGGAGGGAGTCTTTGTTGCTAGAAATCTTGGATACAATAAACAATCTTAATTTGGACTCTCACACAGTTCAATCTTCAAACATCGATGGGATTCTCTCCTTGACAATTAAATCAAAGGTTTGTACTCGTCATTACACAAAAGCTATGCATCGAATTGGATCAAATAGACTTTAGATTTCTTCTAACTTTAATACATATGTATTGCAGTTAACTGGATCAGCAATTGCATCGACAGAGATGATCAAGCAAGCACTTCAGAGAATTATTGGCTAAGAATTTAAAAANTGTATTGCAGTTAACTGGATCAGCAATTGCATCGACAGAGATGATCAAGCAAGCACTTCAGAGAATTATTGGCTAAGAATTTAAAAAAAAATCTGACTGTAAAAATGTTGGGTCTTTGAGTTCCTCGAATTTTTAGCTTCAATTACTGCAAGATTATGTATATTTGTAGCAACTATCATAGATCTCCCACTATCAGAATCACTGGCCCTATGATAGTATCCACATGAATTGGATGTGCTCTTACATGTAAAACATTAATTGCCCAGTTAATGACTTCATCGTAGTGTTACTTTCTGAAAGAGCGTGTTTCAAAGCAATTTTGAAGAATAAGGACTATACGGATTCAAGTTGCTTGTGCATGCAACTGTGTGAGTGTGTGTGAGAGAGAGAGAGAGAGAGAGAGAGAGAGAAGCATGATTATGTATACTTTATTAAAAACAGATTGGGTATCTTTAAAGGAAAGTTTGGTCCCCCAAGCTTTAGTCTCAAGTGTGGGGGCATTTCAGATAAAACTGAAGTTCTTGGACATGAGTGAGCAGACCGTGCATGCCAATCTAATCATGTCAAGTCTTTTCCAATTAAGAATTGCTTTAGGAGAGGCTGCGGGATTAGGTGTCTGGCCATGAGATTAGGGAAATTTGGGTTTGGTTAGTGGAGGTGGTGGTGGTGGTTTGGAGTCAGTGGGGTTTTGGGGTTTAGGTTTGGTGGAGATGATGGGTTCAGGTGGATTTGAGGCGATGGGTTCATTTGCGGTGATGGTAATGGGGTGGTTTGAGGCGGTGGTGCACATGGGTGGTGGCAGATGCATGTATGAAATGTATGATGCAGAGATGGTGGAAATCTACAGATAGAACTTCACCAAAAAACCCTCTCTCTAATGGTTAGACCACATACAACAACAGCCATGTTACCATTACACCTCATACTAACAGAAATTGCTAGTGCTAGTAATTGGTAATAAGTTAAAAATGTCACCGTTGATGTTGCAATCAATGATATCGCTACAATTAATTGTTTTTATAGGTGGCATCCTTTGAATTGGAATAAAGTATGCATATAGAGCAAAAAAAAATTCCTTCTACTCATTGTACATTTGAAACAACCAATGACTTGAATGAAGAATGGCATTTTATAATCAAATTTTCCATAAATAGGTCAAAGCATTTACATGCAATGCATGGTCAGAACCAAAGATTTTGCTTTGAGCACTGACCCTAGACATTGTAAATTAGAAGTACTCATTGCCCTGCAACCTCTAGGAATGACACTATAGAAGCTCGCCCTATATTCGTATAAAGCCATAAGAAACCTTACTCATTTTGGCTAAGCTATAGGTATTCAAGAAGGAATCATTCCCACTCAATTGTTGATGGAGGCTTCGATGTAATGTCTTGAACGACACGGTTTACACCACGGACGCTGTTACAAATCTTTCTTACCACATCATCGAGGAACTTGTGTTCAAAATTGTACCTGGAGTTTCATGATTTCCAAAATAAAAATATATTAACACATTAACAAGTACTTTATGAAAAGATCAATCAGGATGTAAATCTTCTGTCGATAGGAAGCAACACTTTCAAGTTTCAAGACTCACAATCACAACCAATAAGTAAAATTATCTCTTCAAAATTAAGCTCAAAAGAAAGAATTAAGAACAATGATCAGTTGTCCACATGCCAAACTCCTCATAGTAACCCACACAATAATTTATCTATTAATGCATCTGGCACAGCAAACATGAATCCCCTAGTGTAAACCCTCAGCCCCTTTCAGATTTGTAATGGTAGAATGAAACAACAAAACAACAATTAAAAGGAACAACTTCAACATCTTAGCAACATTATACAAATGTAAACAAGCAACTAGCCCACTACAAAATCCTTACAATAAATGAAATGCGTGAGGAAAAAATGATCAGACTGCATGCTTAAATTTCATATTCCAATATCGCACACATATACACAAACATCTAGATGCTCTTTTATATAGGAATCAACAAAAAAGTTCACAAAATAGATAAAATCAACAAAGATGTAAGAGAAAAAAAAAACTCACCAGTCTGCGGTCATTCCATCTTGACTTGTAACAGCTCTTAAAGCGACAACATGAGAATGAGTTCTTTGATCTCCTTGAACCCCGACTGATCTTATTGGCAAAAACACAGCAAAAGCTTGCCATATAGAATCATAAATCCCAGCATCTTTGATTGATTGAATGAAGATCTCACCCACCTAAGTTATAGCCAGAACGATATATTAAGAGGATAACCAAGACGGAAAATGTCATGCTCCATAGACAAGCACAAAAATACTCCATATACCTGGCGGAGGATATCCAAGGCATTCCCTTCAGTCACATCACCCAAAACCCGTACAGCAAGACCAGGCCCAGGGAAGGGGTGACGCTTTAGAAATGCCCCTGGAATGTCTAATATCTTTCCCAATGCACGAACCTTCCCAAAAGTGAAACGAAAGAAGTAAAAAAAAATATGAGTACCAAACATTTAAAATATTCAAGAGTTGACTATCATATAAAAAAGTGCCTAACTTCATTAACAAATCTGAAAGGGTGTCTAAATTTGGAGGGGACTAAGAGGAGAGACTTCATCCTTAAATAAAAGCTTAAGTGGTTCAATAAGCTTCAATTTCATGTCCCTGGGAAGCCCTCCAACCATAGTTATCAAATCGTGTATCGGAAGGCGTATCGTAAGATACAAATATTGTATCGTATCGTGTATCGTATCGTGTATCGTAAGATACGATGCAATTTTAAATAAATAATAAAAAAATATATATACCTTTGAAAAAAAGTCATACACTCATAAAAAATATAGCATTTCATTAATACTCCACCAACTATTCAAGTTATCAACATAATCCACTACTATTATAATGCAAAGTTCACAACCATAGTTCACTAATTCAAACTTTAAACACCAAAGAGACTTCTAATCCAAATTTCTAACATCCATTTTGAACTCAATCTTCAATTTCAATTGAAAATGCATCATCATCATCATCATT